AGTGCTACGCTTATGTCTTTTTTGATTTTAAACATGAATGGTAAAAGTAGCAACTGAAATAAAAACATTTGCAAATTTGTGTACAGCTGATTGCTATTTAGGCTTAGTTTACAAAACAATTACACATGACAATCTTTATCACTGCATATAAAACATTGCCTAGCATAACCAGACAACAGGAAATACAACTGAAATCATCATGACAGGTCATGTTTTATCTCAAAATTCACATTTTGACCAAGTTTGTTATCTCATGTTAACCTGAAGCAATATGATGTGGTGTTTGACAGCACAATAGCCGAAATAGCAATTGTTCCCAAAACTTGTACTCAGGTCCAGACCATTGTAGACTATACACACAGGCCACAAAGTTAAAAAGAATTCAAAGGAGCCACTTGGCTCCTAAATTATTTTTTTTCAAGGAGCCAAATAGAATTTCAAGGAGCCAGGGCAAAATGTAAGGAGCCAAAAGTAATGATTCGTAATTTAACTGAGCTTCTGCATAACAAAACACACAAAAATCCATTAGTTTGAATAATCAGTTTTATATCATGAACAACAACTGTTGTTGAAGCTTTTGAGTTTTTCAGACAAACAAGCTTAAGAACATTGTGTCGGTAACATCATCAGACAAGTTTTAGGACATTGTGTCAGTAAATCCATCAGACAAGCTTAAGAACATTGTGTCAGTAACATCATCTGACAGTTTACCGGTGCCAGTTGCAGGTTTTGGTTCATGGAACGTGTCGACAGAGGATGAAACTTCTGTGTCAGCTTCGCCATTCAAAGCATTCCGTATTTTCTTGAGTATACTGCGCATTTTTTTCCAAAAAAAACACAGCTGTGTAGAAGGGGGTGCGCATTATACACTAAATAATGAGTTTTGATGTTTTTCCCCCATGGAAAGACATTACTGTGAGCACGTAACACCGGAAATACCATGTCAACAAATCCATACTGAAGTACGCAAATTAATCATGTAATTACACTGTCTGACTATTAAAAGTGTTCTTTGTATATCTGGACTTATGTTTGTAACTTATTTCATTAATTTTATTCAAAATTACTTTTAATATTGTTTTAATTAATTTCGGCGAAATCGTGTTATTAACAGAAACCACGGTCAGATTACCGCTATTGATGCCTTGAAACGAACTTTAGTTGACAGAGAATGGATACATATATCATAAATGCCATACTGTGACTCGTTAAAAGTCATATTTGTTTTTGTTTGACGATTCTATGTCAACACGTAATTCTCGCGATCACGTGCGCGGGAGCCTTGACAGTGACTTGTCAGACTGGTTCCATGTAAAACCATGTAATACCCGGTAATAGCAATCAGCTGCTTCGCTTAGGGTTATTATTATTTCAAATATGTTTAGTAAAAGCTGCATCTAAATTAAGAAGATATTGGAATATATTATTCCTGATAAAAAAATAGTTTCAGATACAATTTTTGCCGATCCTTGCATTAAAACCCTGTAAAGTTATATCATTGGGTGTGTCTTGACTGAATCACCGGTAAATTCAAAGGAAATGTGTGTACAGCTGATTGCTGTGTCTGGCTTAGTTTACGAGAAGATACACATGGTAATCTTAATCCCTGGATATAAAACAATGCCTAGCAGAACAAAAAAAAATACAATTTAAACAGTAAATCAACATGTCTGGTGATTTTTTATCTCAAATTTCGAATTTGTACTGACCAAGTTTCTCATCACCCATCCGTTTGCCGGACTTCGCTAAAGGGGTAGATATATCTACGGTGTAATTTTTTTTCTGCGCTTGGTAGATCTATTCAAATTTTTTTTCCCAAAAAATACTGAATCCGCTAGAGAGGGGTGCGCACTATACTAAAGAAAATACAGTAGTCATCATTTGCTGATTGACAACGATTTGTTGTTTTGACTTGCGCAAATATTGAAAAATACTTCATGTTTTTGAATGGCGAAACGACCGCCACAGCTGTCACCTGGGCGGATGTCGTACAGCGCATGCGTGGGTACTTAATAACGGAAAGTGCTTCCTTCATTCCAGGTATGGAGCCTGGCCTAGCAGTGATCTAGTCGATGTTATTATGTTCTGATATCGATTTTTTTTGCTGAAGTTACCGCACTTATATCAAAAACGATCTTTTTTAATATCTTATGACAAGAGATATTTAGTCGCCAAACTTAATTAAAGACAAGGAGCCAGTTGGCAACTGACATGAAAATACCAGTCGCAAAATACAAAACTAGATTGCCATGGCGACCAATTTAGTCGCAACTTTGTGGCCTGACACAAGAAATAGTTTTAAAATGATTATCAATCATCCTTCAAAATATACATTCTACTTATAATCCATACAGTACTTGGAGGAGGGGATGGGGAGGGGAGGGGAGGGGAGGGGAGGAAGGGAGCAAAGAAGGAAGGCGGGGTATTTTAAAACATTATTGTATCAAATATGCCACAAAATCAGGTGACAGCTGATCACTTTTAATACATTCCTACATTCATGTTCAATCCCATGTGCTGATTACACATGAAAATAAAATAATCAGATGGCATATTACTCCCATTGTTGTAAACAAAAATCCCATTAGTCATGCCCCCTTATTCTAGCAAATTAAGAAGAGTGTAACTTCTGGTATGGGATAACAAATTCTTAATGCAATAAATATTGAAACCAGAAGGCTCAATGTTTCTAGCCATCTCGATAAGAAAGCTGTGTGCAATTCCTTTCTGATGACATCTGGTTATCATGACCTTGATTTGATGTAAACCAAATTCTTCTCCCGTGAATACCCAAAACAGGCTCAAGTTGTCATGGTGGCAAGATCTGGCCATGATTAATTTGATGAATGACCCTAGTCTTTAAATTCAACCAATCATATGCACTGAGATTTCTGGCAGCAAACAAATGTGGACTACAAATCTTATGTCTCTGCACCATAACCATGATGTCAATACATTCTCATGAACATGTCTTTTAATAAGTGAATGACTTAGACACAACCTTAAAATAATGCAAGGATTTGATTATTGTGTTCATTGTTTATTAGCTTCCTGCCTACTTCATGGTGTGGCCTCTGGTGACCTCAGACAGAAGACACTCCAAATCTAATCATTAGTAGACCTCACTCACCCTTGGTCAGATTTGTGTGAGCAAAGCCATTTTACTTGCACTTAGTTTTTTCCATGATATTAAAATTTGTACAACACATTTTCCATTGTCAGGCCTTCTTGTCTACTGGAATGAAATGAAGAAAAAATGACCTCATTAACATTCACATTGTGTGAGGATTTTTTCTACGTGAAGTAAATACATAAAGATAGATCATAAAGCTGTATTCCTTGCAAATAAAGCCATTTGTCATGGATATGAATGTGTTTTCTAGTGGAAGCGAAAGCACCGGCAAACAAAACACTTTGTTCGTTTCCTTGAAAAAGCACTTATAATGGTGTATTGGCAGTACTCCAAGAACATAATGCTTGTGAGAAGATGGTGGACATGGGTAAGGGTGGAGAGCAGGCAAGATTTCTAATATGTCATAACATAGAACTAACGAACATATATATACGAAACTGTGATTGACAATGAATATAATACCTGGTTCATATTTTTCTTCACATTAATGTTTACTTTGATCAATGTCATAAACGTTCATTTTTATATTCCTGTACAATGTGTAGATCTAGTGGTGACTGTGAGTTGCTTTTAATTCCTATGGGCTCCTCACCATGTTTATTGTGGTGCAATTGCCTATTACATGTGATGTGAAGGAAATCGAAAGAAATTTATTTTATTCCATACTATATAAACTAAATATAGTGGATGGGAATTGAAAAACAGTTTGGGGGATTGTTTGGAGGCAAATCCCTTGCCAAACTATATTCACAGGTTTGTCTTTGTCAGACTGCCCTTTTGCAAAATTTGAACAACCATTGGAATGACTGACAATAAGTCGACATTAGCCAATCAGAAAGCAGCGTTCTCGTGCTCTACGGCACTAGTTTCAAACTGGCAACTGCGCTTGGAAACATATTTTGACAAATTCTCGGTTAAAATTTTGAAAACTGAACAAGAGCATTTTGGAATGGCTAATGGCCTAGATTGTACGGATTCAGTCGTATGTCTGTATCTGTTGTTCAGAAAACCCTGTGCTGAATTTTTCGAGGTTGCATGAATAGAAAACATTTTCCAACTTCCCCTTTCCTGATCTGGTAAGCAACCCTGTGGCTGGTGGGATGAGAGGTCGTTCTGACGTGACCAATAATGGGTTTCCTCAGATCTAAGATCTGAGTTAAATAAGATTGATCAGTGGTCTGCTAGTGGTTGTATGTGTGCTGCTGCAAATGGCTTTATAAGCTAAAATATTTCGTTGTTTTCAGATTTTTACGACTTTCTAATCAAAGAACGTGGCCTTATCACAAATGTGTCAGTAATTAGTTCCGATTTTCCTCATTTCACTTCGACAGATAGGAAGGCCTGAATTTATAACTGCTCAAATAACTTAAACATTAGCTTAGATGCATTTTTTCAAATCATAAGGCAATACATACAGTTGAAAGTGGATGCAAATATTTTGCCCACCACTACCCATCATGGGATGCAAAGATATCATTAAAGCCAATTTAATTATGGCCATGCAAAGTGCCATTTATACTGTCCGTGTTGAATTTTCTTTACTCATTTAGTTTCTGAAATGCCAGGGGGATATGGGCCTGCAATATGCCCTATGCATTGAGGGTTGAAAATAAAATTGCTACTGACACTCAATAAAGTTTCAGGATTTTTCTTAAAAACTGAATGATGTGTTACACTGCATTTGTAATATTATTGCTATTCATCCAGACTGCATGTTTATATTACTTTTTTATTAGTAATTTGAGGTATGTTGGCTTTAACTAAGGAAGACATGTGAACCTTCTTTACACAGTCCATAGCCATGACAGCATAGGATATAAATGTCTTGATTAAGGAATGAACAAAATAACAATGATAGGATTCCTACCTCTCTGTTTCAGATCATTCTCCACAACTCCAAAGTTGTCGTAAAAGATGTAGTAAATGTGGGAGTAGTTTTCCTGGAAAAATTTCTTTCCTTCCACACAGTCATAGTTTTCTGCAACAAAAGTATAAGAAGTTGTTGAACAGACTTTGCTTTGAGTGACATCATGACATATCCTCTCTAATTAGCTGCATTGATTACCCAGGAGTGCTAATGTTATAGATGTCAGCGACATGGGACAGGTGATCCTGTACCACAAACAGCTAGGCTAGTCTGAGATGAACTGTGCACTAGATCTGACAGAATTAAATGGCCTAAGCAAAATGTAATTAAAAATGGGAAGTGGAGCCCTCCATTTATCATATTTTATGTGTAATTCTTGGATATTTGCAACATTCATCTGCATTAATACTTAACCGCATGACATGCATTACTATGAAAATTAACAGGCATTTCACTATCATCATGATCACTGTCAGATTTGTTTATCAAAGAAAATAGTTTGAATGAGCAAACATTTAATTGCGTCACTTATTGATGCCATTTCTGGATTTTTATGATGCTACATACTTATATATAGTAACTATGATTCAATTTCTGAAATTTAATCAGTGAACGCAATTATTGACTTTTGACAGTTGATGAAGAAAACAACCTACCCAAAACAGATCGAAGGTGTTTCAATCGTGTAACGGTATCTTTCTTCGGGTCTGCGACTTTCTGCGCTGATTTCTTAATATCGCCATGACTGGCTGTCTTCCTGAAGAACAATGCCGAAGTCATCTAGCTATTTGGATCTCATCCGTTTAAGATCTATATCCATTTTGCAAATTCAACCTGTTTGATAAACAAATTTCTCCTTTCACAAATGGCGAGATTCCGCTTGAATGCGCATGCGTGTAAACAGGGGAAGTAACCCTGTCAAGTTCACAAGTGCGCGAAATTTAAACGAAAATAAAGTTTATCCCCCCCGTATCTAAATCCAAGGGCTGTGTCTCCAGATGATAGATATATTGAAACGTTTGAAGTGCACAAAGGTTTAATAAAACATTTTATCCGACAGGTTTCATTACAGGAATATATCGCGATAAGAATCTGTCCTACAAGATTACACAACACACATACAACTAGGCACAACATAGCTAGGCTACTACAGCGAAGACCCAGGGGATAGGCATTTTGTTAGTTTCTAAATAATGTGATTTACGCCACACTCATCAATAAGCCAGCTATAGACATCGGTCTGTAAATACTCGAGTCGGGACCAGACAATCCAGTGATTGACATCATGAACATCGAGCCATGCGATAATATGTATCAACCAATTCACCGAGCCTGACCACCCAATCCATATCTAGTCGCTAGAGTTCTTACAAGCACAGATTGCCTGTTCTTATCTGGAATCACCATGAGTAGCTAGGCCACATATACACGGGTGCCCAGCCGCTAAAGGTACTTACGTCAGTTCATGCGGAAGTTGGATTGCTCACATTAAAGAGGGTATCGCTCGGGTTAGTTTGATTCAAGATATCCATTTTGTATTGGTTTGTGAAAAATATTATGCTCTCCGAGTGACATATATTCCTCAAAAATATTATGTAAATCCATCAATAGAACAATTTTACATACTTATGTCGTCTCTGCATCAGTCAACAATTAGAAGTCTGGCTTGTTATATTTACCACGCTTTTAAGTTAAGGAATTCATTTCTGCAGAAGTAATATTCTTTATCTATGAATGCCTTGCTGTTGTGTATTTAGGTGTACACAGTTGTATTTTTATACATGTCTGGTGAACCGAATTGTACTATGGGCCGCTGGCCCACTCATGTACTGAATAAACAGATTAGATATCCCAAAACCCTTTCAAAACCACATTTGTTTGGGCATGCAGTTGAACATGTTCCCGAGGCACTGTAATTTAGTGAGTCAGTTTGGTTTTACGCCGCTTACAGCAATATTCCAAAAATATGAATTCCACATGAACTTTAATATATGAGCAACACATCCTTGTTGCAAGAGGCGACTAACGGGATCGGGTGGTCAGGCTCGCTGACTTGCTTATTGCATGTCATTCCAATTGCATGGATCGATGCTCATGATGTCAATCACTAGAGTTTTTGGTTCAGATTCGATTATTACAGACATTAATGGAATATTGCTAAGTGCGGTATTAAACAAACAAACATCCTTATGTGAACATGTACTCTTGCAGTAGGTATACATTTCCTGTTTGCGTCAATGGTTGTTAATCTTCTTCATTGTCCAGAACATCCATGGTAATATCATTTCTATCACTGTCATCATCGCTTACAATTTGTCTCTTGCATGCAGATTCAATAACCTAAACTGGTGACATCCCTATCATCTCAGACAGTTTTTCATAGTACCGACAGAGTTTTCTCCCCTTACCGCTTGTCTTCTGAACAGATACATACTCACAACAACTTCCCTTTTCTCCAGAGCTTCCGTAATTTATCACATCCCTCTTCAGACAACTCTGTAGATTTGTTGCGATAATGCAAGAAGAAGTTAGTATTGTTGATTGGTCTCACTGTCTAATTGTCCTTCACAGGCACGTGGTGGCAGCATCGTCCCAACTAGAACCTCAAGTTTTGTCTCTTTGTTTTTCATACCAGCCGTGTCTTATAATAACTACGTCTGTTCATTGGTGTGAGTGTTTAAACCGTAATACATCACAGACGACAACGCTTTAGTGCCAGGTAGACAGGCATAAAACATGTCGATCACGAAAATCACGTGTCCGGTGAATCTGCAATATTTCATGCTGCACGGACATGTCTATTTCACACCAATCACCTCAAAGGGCACGTCCTTGTTTGTTTGACAGTTGTATAACCGTAACCATATATTTAAACCCGTTCATGTATGTATAAATGCAGGTATCAGACAAAGGTCTCGAGATGTGAGTGGCTGGGAGAATCAGCCGAGGGTCTAGGGATCCCAGTAGATGGGGGTCGGAGAGAATCAGCCGAGGGTCTAGGGATCCCAGTAGATGGGGGTCGGGGAGAATCAGCCGAGGGTCAAGGGATCCCAGTAGATGGGGGTCGGAGAGAATCAGCCGAGGGTCGAGGGATCCCAGTAGATGGGGGTCGGAGAGAATCAGCCGGTGGTCAAGGGATCCCAGTAGATGGGGGTCGGGGAGAATCAGCCGGTGGTCAAGGGATCCCAGTAGATGGGGGTCGGAGAGAATCAGCCGAGGGTCAAGGGATCCCAGTAGATGGGGGTCGGAGAGAATCAGCCGAGGGTCAAGGGATCCCAGTAGATGGGGGTCGGGGAGAATCAGCCGGTGGTCAAGGGGTCCCAGTAGATGGGGGTCGGGGAGAATCAGCCGGTGGTCAAGGGATCCCAGTAGATGGGGGTCGGGGAGAATCAGCCGGTGGTCAAGGGATCCCAGTAGATGGGGGTCGGGGAGAATCAGCCGAGGGTCAAGGGATCCCAGTAGATGGGGGTCGGGGAGAATCAGCCGGTGGTCTAGGGATCCCAGTAGATGGGGGTCGGAGAGAATCAGCCGGTGGTCAAGGGATCCCAGTAGATGGGGGTCGGGGAGAATCAGCCGAGGGTCAAGGGATCCCAGTAGATGGGGGTCGGAGAGAATCAGCCGGTGGTCAAGGGATCCCAGTAGATAGGGGTCGGAGAGAATCAGCCGGTGGTCAAGGGATCCCAGTAGATGGGGGTCGGGGAGAATCAGCCGGTGGTCTAGGGATCCCAGTAGATGGGGGTCGGGGAGAATCAGCCGGTGGTCAAGGGATCCCAGTAGATGGGGGTCGGAGAGAATCAGCCGGTGGTCAAGGGATCCCAGTAGATGGGGGTCGGGGAGAATCAGCCGGTGGTCAAGGGATCCGAGTAGATGGGGGTCGGGGAGAATCAGCCGAGGGTCAAGGGATCCCAGTAGATGGGGGTCGGAGAGAATCAGCCGAGGGTCAAGGGATCCCAGGAGATGGGGATCGGAGAGAATCAGCCGGTGGTCAAGGGATTCCAGTAGATGGGGATCGGAGAGAATCAGCCGGTGGTCAAGGGATCCCAGTAGATGGGGGTCGGGGAGAATCAGCCGGTGGTCTAGGGATCCCAGTAGATGGGAATCGGAGAGAATCAGCCGGTGGTCAAGGGATCCCAGTAGATGGGGGTCGGAGAGAATCAGCCGAGGGTCTAGTGATCCCAGTAGATGGGGGTCGGGGAGAATCAGCCGGTGGTCAAGGGATCCCAGTAGATGGGGGTCGGGGAGAATCAGCCGAGGGTCAAGGGATCCCAGTAGATGGGGGTCCGGGAGAATCAGCCGAGTGTCTAGTGATCCCAGTAGATGGGAGTCGGGGAGAATCAGCCGAGGGTCAAGGGATCCCAGTAGATGGGAGTCGGGGAGAATCAGCCGAGGGTCTAGTGATCCCAGTAGATGGGGGTCGGAGAGAATCAGCCGGTGGTCAAGGGATCCCAGTAGATGGGGGTCGGGGAGAATCAGCCGGTGGTCAAGGGATCCCAGTAGATGGGGGTCGGGGAGAATCAGCCGAGGGTCAAGGGATCCCAGTAGATGGGGGTCGGAGAGAATCAGCCGAGGGTCAAGGGATCCCAGGAGATGGGGATCGGAGAGAATCAGCCGGTGGTCAAGGGATTCCAGTAGATGGGGATCGGAGAGAATCAGCCGGTGGTCAAGGGATCCCAGTAGATGGGGGTCGGGGAGAATCAGCCGGTGGTCTAGGGATCCCAGTAGATGGGAATCGGAGAGAATCAGCCGGTGGTCAAGGGATCCCAGTAGATGGGGGTCGGAGAGAATCAGCCGAGGGTCTAGTGATCCCAGTAGATGGGGGTCGGGGAGAATCAGCCGGTGGTCAAGGGATCCCAGTAGATGGGGGTCGGGGAGAATCAGCCGAGGGTCAAGGGATCCCAGTAGATGGGGGTCCGGGAGAATCAGCCGAGTGTCTAGTGATCCCAGTAGATGGGAGTCGGGGAGAATCAGCCGAGGGTCTAGTGATCCCAGTAGATTGGGGTCGGGGAGAATCAGCCGGGGGTCAAGGGATCCCAGTAGATGGGGGTCGGAGAGAATCAGACAAAGGTTTCGAGATGCGAGCACCCGGGTGCCGTCAAGAATCAGACTGGGGTCTCGAGATGCCACGCTGTATATAATCCCTGGAATTTGTAGAGTAAATATGTATTTTCTGGTTCACGCAGAGAATATACGTCGTCCCTACATGTTCTGGTGATCCGTGAAGACCTGGGTTAGAATAGGTCTTCAAACCATACTTGTCCTAAGACGAGACTATGCTTGTCAAGAGAAGCGACTGACGGGATCGGGTGGTCAGGCTCGCTGACATGGTTGATGCATGTCATCGTATCCCAATTGCATGAATAGATACTCATGATATCAATCACTGGATGGTTTGGTCCAGGCGCAATTATTTACAGACCGCTGTCATATAGCTGGAATATTGCTGAGGCCGGTGTTATTCAATCGAAAATAATTGTTCCCGAAAATTCTTTCAAAAAATAATTTTGCTTGTGGAAATAAAAAAAGTGCCTGCTACAAATATTACATTGTTGCAAGGTGTTTTTCTTCAAATGTAATTCAGGCTCATAGTTAACTGGTTTATATATATAAAATATCTGATTTTGTAGCTGTAGCTCAAGAAATATTTAATCTCGATACAAAACCCAAACCGTCCCAATTGCGTGGATCGATGCTCATGATGCCAATCACTGGATTGTCTGGTCCAGACTCGATTATTTACAGATCGCCGTCATATAGCTGGAATATTGCTGAGTGCGTCGTTATGCAACAACCAACCAACCAACCAACGGTTCAATATGTGGTTGAAACATGCTTTTTGAGGCAGCTTAAAATTGCTGTACTGCCATGGCCGGTGGTTTATCCAGACCTTTGCCCCATAGAACATGTTTGGGATGAGAAGGTCCAAAGCCTACGACAGGACCAGAACCAGCCGGTAACGCCAGCTGAGTTGTGCCAATCATTGGCTGACATTTGGAACAACTACCCCTCAATCACCTGGTGTCTTCAATGCCCCGCCTGTGCCTCGCCTGTATCACCGCAAATCGTTGTCACACTCCTGCCCGTAAACAATCAACAGGTAATCAACTCATGCGTGTTTGTGGTTGACGACAAGGACTACCCAGTTGCATACTGTCACTGCCGCGTTCAGACTTTCAAGCGTGCTGCTGAGGTTGCGTATCAATCCTAGAAACTGTTCTGTTACTTGGGGCTCCATGCATACCCCAGAGTGACACCGGCCAAAGTCATCAGTGAACTAAATCAGTTGTGGACAGATCTTGTGATCCTCCATGACAAGTTCGGACATCCCCAGAGCGAGAGCTACATTGTTTGTTTGTTGTTTAGCGCCTCACTCTCTGCGATTATATATGACGGCGGCCTGTAAATACACATCTCCAGAATCCAGCGAGTCTTCTGCCACGTTTTGTGAGCCATCACGACCCGTGAAGATCCGGGTTAGAATAGGTCTTCAGCAACCCATGCTTGTCCCTCGTGAAGATCCGGGTAGAAAAGGTCTTCAGCAACCCATGCTTGTCGTAAGAGGCGATTAACGGGATCGGGTGGTCAGGCTCGCTGACTTGATTGATGCATGTCATCCTATCCCAATTGCGTAGATCCATGTTCAAGATGTCAATCACTGGTTTGTCTGGTCGACTCGATTAGTTACAGACAGCCGTCATATACCTGGAATATATTGCTGACTGGGGCGTTAAACAACAAAGTACAAAATGTGTGCCATTTCCTGATTCCAGCGAGTTTTCTGTCACGTCTTGTTTATCTCGATCCCATTTCTGTATATATTTCATATATTGATATTTACATCCATCCAAAGACATGTAATACTATGCAAAGACATAGGCCGTTTTACAGCCGTATTATAACGCGTAATTTCTTCAGGCGTAAATTGAATGAAAACAACTTTTTGAAAGTCGTTTAAGGCGCCGCAGTTAACTCTGCAGACTTGCGTCCATTGGGCATGACAGACACCAATGATCGTGGGTTCGAATCCCGGTTCGGTCCGATTGTGTTTCTAGGTTTGTCAGCACCATATCCGTACTCGTGGATTTCACCAAAGTGGTAAAGCTCTAAGACCTGCACCACTTCGTGATTTCCTCCCACATTAAGCTGCCACGTCGTGCTATAACTGGAATGTTGGTCAAGCGGCGTTACACCAAATTCACTCACTCAGCAAATACCTCTGACATTCAGACAATTCAGTTCATATACTAAAAACCTAAATAACCCTAATCTGTACGGGAACTAACAGTGTGGTGTATTTATTCATCCGATGCTCAGTTGATGTCTAGGTTAAAGGTATAACTAGTGGTAGCACCGACGACGTGTCAGCTAGCTGTCATGACATTACTAGCATTCATCCCTACCTCCTGTGTGTGCGTGCGCGTGCGCGTGCGCGTGCGTGTTTACTCAGACGTTGGTGTCTACATGGTGGTTCAAATTTGATTTCTCTTGCCTGGGGTAACTATTTAATTTATGAAAGGGCAATGGATCCAGGTCTGATGTGCTGAATGTATTACATGTTATGTTATATGTAATATGTACGAGGCAGCTCTGCAAGAGAGGTTAATAAGACAGATTCATCATGGAGAAACCAAATGAAAAGCCAAATGCTTCTCATGGTTGAAGTATGTATCGTATTCGAGTTTCTTCTGCACGGTGTCTCAGCAGATAATGGTGAATCTGTTATCATTTTAAAACGATCGTCATCCTCTCATACCTTATCACGACATTGTGTTGCGAATATAACCATTTATTGTGGCCTCGTGACATTTTGCGGGTCTCATTACCATTACTTTCCGCAAATCGGCTAGTCCATATTTTATGAAAACCTTAATCAAAGGGAGACAACCCGTTATCCAAAAGCAAAATGGCGACCACGGATGTGCCAGCTTATTTTGCCTGGCATAAATTTCCTGGAAATCGCGCATTTAGACAGTCTGAGGACATAAAGTCTTACCTGGGAAATAGATGGAACAGCCTGTCTGTCGATGAACAAGAAGAAATTATTGATGACTATTTTGTGGACACTGAAATAAGACGCCAGTATCAAGATGAGGCGTCTGCTTCCGACTTCCCACCATCTTTCCCCAAACTTATGATTCCTAATGGGGAGAAGATCATGGTCGATGAAAATGATGTAAGCAAAACTGAAATTGTACAATTTGCAAATCTGATGATGACGGGCAATAGTGGGACGAAGGGTGCACTTGATTTTACCTGGCTCAACTTCTGGATGTCGATTCAATATTTTGTATGTGCCCATTGAGGACTCTCTATTTTTCCTGTTGGGATATTGCTGAATTAAAGAAGACATCACCTACCAGTATGAACACAAATTGTAACTTTTTATTCTTTCATCCCTCGAATAATACCCTAGCATTGGGCTAGCAATGTCGTCTTAGCTGTTTAAAACGGGGCAAGCTAGGATAGTGCCACACCTTAAAACGAACCTTTTTCTTTGTCACTGTGGTTTTGTTTACTAAATTTATCACAATTGTGCACTGTAATTGATTGAGCTAGTTTTTTTTAAATAGTAGCATTCTCAAATATCTCCAATATTTTATCTGTTTAAAACACTGATCAGGGTCTGCTTGTTAATGGTAAGAACAAAGCTCAACATGAAGGTTTGCATTAGGCCAAAGATGTATATGATCTATGTGCCCATGCTTCTCTGATCTTACATACCTTTTTGGTCATTGAGGGAAGTTTTGTAAGGGTTAATATAGGACACCCCTAATACTGTCCTTGGTCCTTGGATCCCTTTGCCGTCCAAGCACCCCCTTTTGCTGTTTTATTGTTTGGCATCCCTCTCTGATCAACAGGATTTGGCGTGAGTTTGAATTAGCTTTCTGACCTTCTCAGACCGAATACAGTTTATCTGATCTAAATCTGTATTTTGTGGAAACAGTGATGAGCCCATAGTTCCAAAGAATGATCCTATGATTGTACAGATGTAAAATAATCAAGTAGTAATCGCTAGGTAAATGATCACTATTATCATGATTATGTGTGATAGTTTTGATGGTCCTGTAGCAAAGCATTGGCTACTTAAAGGGGCCGTCGGGTAGCCTAAGTGGTTAAAGCATTTGCTCGTCACGCCGTAGACCCGGGTTCGATTCCCGACATGGGCACAATGTGTGAAGCCCGTTTCTGGTGTCCCCCGCCGTGATATTGCTGGAATATTGCTAAAAGCGGCGTAAAACCATACTCACTCACTCACTCACTCAGTATGTTGACGGTTCTGTGTGGTTTTAAATCATGCATGAAATTATTTCCGAGATGACGTCACATGCCTGATTCATTTCTCAAATGAAAACAATAAAGCTCCGCACACTGAAACCAACAACGCAAGTGCTGTGCAGAGTAAACTGGCTTCAGTCATGTGTGTTTTAATAGAGGCAAATTAGAGAGCTAGCTTGGGTGTTTTTCTTACAGCTGAGTTACAAGATGCTAATTGCCAGCTTGATTGGGTTATAAGCCAGTGCTTATCATAGCCTAGATTACATCATAAATATGCCTTGGTCATATGAAGCCAATCACTCTCCTACCCAGGGTTCCTTGCGGCCAGCCGAGTAGCTCTGTCCAAAGACGTATATGTCTTTGCTCTGTCACATCTTACACAGTCCATTTATGTGTTCTTCATTTGTTTCATTTTGGACGAGTCTACACATTTAGATCAACAGACGTCATGAAATGGTTAACTATCATTGAGAAAATATCCTAAAATGTGAAAAACTATTTAGATTAGAGTATTTATCCTCCACATCCTGTCATCGAAGTCCTTCGAATAGCAAGCGATACGGTCACTTTGATGTGTAAAACTATATTGTTATGCACCTCACTGTCGTAGTTGTTGTAGTATATCTATATAATTATGCAAAACAATATGCATAGCACCAAAAGGCCATGTGTTCATATTTCAGAATATGTGCATTTGTTTACAGGCAAGAGAAAAGTCTAGTCATGTGCCTAGCCTAGCCTAGCCTACACCCGTGGTATGGTCACTGGAACAGAAACGGAATAAGGCGAGCAGAATTGAGCTAAGCTTCAGAACGGTCGATGTCCTGTCCCTTTAGCTCATTTGCATTGCCTGCTTGAAGCTGTTTCATCCTTCTCTACCCTTAAGGTGTTGATTGGAATCCCAAAACATCTGCCTGGTTATGTGCAGTACCCCAGCTCAGATATAGTCTCTGTACAGTGACACAACTGCCTCTGTGGTTTAGTGCTAGAGTGTCCACCCAGAGATCGGAAGGTCCGGGGTTCAATCCCAAGGCTCATACCAAAAGATGTTAAAAGAAGGTACTTGTTGTTACCCTGCCTGGTGCTTGGCATTAAGGGGCTAAAACAAGGACTGTTGGCTTGAAGTCAGTATTCTGTGTCTAAGTGGGGTATTCATGGTAATCTGCGACATGGTATATTAGTTGGCTAGCGCTATACTCGTACAATCAGCCACACACATGCATGCACATAGCTATATAAGTGCAGTAATCTTGGACGCGACACTAGACCCCATTTCACCTGTCCTCACCTGAACAGTGACAAGCTTTATTAGTAAATGAACTGAGAAGGTCAATATCGCTAGTCATGTGTTGGGGGTAAAATAATAATTAATCAAACACAATTTTCCATTGTGTATGTGAAGAGTTTGCACTTACAAAAACATACCAAAAGACATACTTGAAAGATGTTATCTTAGCAGCTGTATAATATGCTTGAATATTACTGTTTGTCATTATCATGGTTTATGTTCTTTTCTTTTTGCAGTTGCGTACATGGAGAGATGCTCACTCGGGACCATTTTCTTGGAAAAGCAAGGTGAAATGTTCATTCGTTATTATATCTAAGTATAATTAATAGTGTTTGAACATAATTTTCTGGATAAACTTTATTGTCTGGCAATGATATGATTAAACCTCTACGTTTTATACCTGAACTGTTGTAAATCAGAGGCTTGTCATTTTTTGTCATGGTAACTGCTTGACATCACATTTACACATTTTGGTCTCAGTATCAGTTGTATATGTATATCCAAATCATAATTTAAGCAAATGGAATCTATTTATTGTGACAAATTTTAAAATTCATTTTTACAGAGCCAACAGGATCTGACATTGTCAGACTTTGAACCTGAGAATCTATACAAACCACCAACAAAAGGTAAAAAGCCGAAATCTGGCAGTACTGAAACTGAGACTGAAGAGGCTGTTCCCGAGAAACTTGCTCCAGCGCAGTTTGTTTACAGTGAGGACAGGTGGACTTGTGATCTGCTGTCTGAATACCAAACCTATCTGGACACACGGACAAGCAAACCCACGTCTAGAGCCAGCAGCCCCCTTGAAGAGGACAACCCAGCCTTCGAGGGCAGCGTGCAGGATGTACGGGGAACACCCAGGTACGGAACATCCGAGTGTTCGGGGAGTATCATCAGTGATCAGTGTCGCTCGGAACGCTCAGGTAGTGTGATTAGTGATTCCGTAGCACATTCAGACACCTCAGAAAAGGCGAAGAAGACAAAATCTCCAATTCCAAAGAAAGTCACATTTTCCAAGTCCGAAATTGACACTGAGACCACAGAGAAACTGATCATCCAGGAGACAGTGGACGAGACCAACAATGCATTCTGTAATCCAGTAATGGCAAACGAATGGTCAACTTTTGTTGGTCAAGAATCACAAGACATGCAAGACGGTATGTTGTTCATGTTTTGTTTGTCATATCAATTAATATTACCCATAAGCATGTGATAAGGGTTGAATGTGTAATAACTTTCCGATACTTGCACATGTGCATTTTAGCATTCCTCAATGCTGATTGGTCAATTGAAGCCATATGATGGCACAGTGCTTCATTGTTAAGAAACATGGTATGACATCGTCCATTGTTCATGATGTCATGAGTTGATCATGTTGATTACATTTTGTTATGTGAACAATAGGCTGCCTTCAGTGGAGTTGCCGTGTACGGTTGACATTTTATACACTTTTTTCTTCATTTTTCTCTCTTAAAATATCAATGAGTAATATATCGAATAACCTGCTCAGAATTACGGCTTGTCCTTCCCTTGTGAATGCGTAAGTGAGTGAGTATGCTTTATGCTGCTTTTAGCAATATTCCAGCAATATCACGGCGGGGGACACCAGAAATGAGCTTCACACATTGTACCCATTTGGGGAATCAAACCTGGGTCTTCGGTGTGAGTGAATGCTTTAACCACGAGGCAAACCCACTGCCCTCCCTCTTGAATGAATGCTGTAAGTCCCATGCAAAAGTCTCGGGATTAACACCATTCGTTCACTCGGGACAGATAATCCCTACATGAAGCTTGTTGGTTATTCTCTATTGAATTTTTTTTATATTTTTATTGATTTTTACCAATGACATGTTTGTTCAACACTCATGCATAATATGATGGCTTGATAAGTATTGAAGTGTAATCAGTGAACAAGAAACTCATAATTTCATAAAATTTAACAACATCATGAAATGGTTAGCATAATTAAGGATGACAACAAAATGGATGTGTTTTTACATTAGAATAAATTACTTCTCATGTATTCTTTAGACTCCTCTCATGAAGAGCCAGCGACAGATTTAATAGACACTTCTCATGAAGACCCAGTGACAGAATTAATGGAGCCTCCTCACCAAGAGCCGGTGACGGAAGAACCCCCAGCCATGACGATGGACCGTGGTATGGAGAGTTCTGACCAATCTGCGGAGAGCACACCTGACCACACAGCCAGACTATTGCCCAATCAACCAGATCTTAGTGTAGCCGAAAAGGAAGAGGTCATCTTTGTGGCAGTGGAGACCTCAGATGAAAGGGTATGTTAACGAAAAATTATGCCTAAATCATTGGCCTAAATTTATGCTGCAGCAATTGTCTGCTCATCTCTATTTCATTATTTTTGAATATGTTTAAAATTGTGGTTTTAGCCTTAAGATCAATAAAGGGAGTCCAATGCCAGTCTTGTTCAAGAGTAAAATTTTAAACAGATAAAACAGTTCTGACACATGCACAAACATTTCAGTCATATGGATTATAAGTTAATGAATCCAGTTACGATGTAGTGGTTGTAAACAATATTCTCTGTTTACAGTTATGTTCTGTTGTTTTCTGTGACATGTGATATAAGGGAGGTAATTTGCTTGCGAGAAACTATGATGTGTGCATCATTTTGTTGAAACTGAACATTTTCATAGTAGTCATGGTAGTATTAACTATTGTTGTCATTTCAGGATGCAGCAGACCTGAGGAAGAGTGGATTTGACTTCCTTGACAACTGGTAACAGCTCTTGATTGAGAAAAAACAACACTGAAAAGAGACTGAGCCATTACAAAAATTAACTTAAGATGTACAAATTTTACTATAATCTTTTACCGGTATATGAACAATGTTGATATATTGAAGTGAAACTTTGAACTCAATACTGTTATCTGTTATTTCTTTAGGAGTTTTGAAAATCTATCTGAATTTTATTAATCGAAATCAATATTTGTTATTCTGAATATTCAATTTAAAGGACTTCCAGCCTAGTTTGGTTTGTACTTATCAGTGTAGTTGTTGTAGTTGCTGTGGAAGTTATTTATGTTATGATAAACAAGAGTCAACTCTAAGGAAGTACTTGATGACCGAGGAGTTACATGGCATGAGACTGAGGCATCTATTTCTGGTGGTTACGGCACTTATACTCCAGCTTACTTATGCAATGACATTTAACCCTCCACCCTTGGAACCATTGATGTTGTGCCTTGCTTACTCACATGTATACTCAAGGTGGACAAAGTGAGATTTCCAGGACTTGTAGCCATGGGATTTTTGTCTCCCTACACATGTTGTTTGACTACACGTGCAATATGTCTGTGTTCAGCTAACTGATCAAAATGTTTACATTTATACACTTGGGTATATATTGTTTGTTTGTTTGTTGTGATGCTGGCTTGACATCCTGATGGAGGCTCAGCATCAGAGATATGGGGTCTGAATGTAGGAATTTGAAGGCAGTTTACTCTGTCAGCGTCGACATTTGTAGATTTCAGCTGTAATCCTGAGGTATAGGTTATTTCACAGTGTGCAGGTGCATGTTATGGACTTGTTGATATTGTTATGCATTTAGGATTCAATTATCTGTAATATGAGACACAACTCGTATGGAGTGGGTAAAGAGCAATATCTGAATGATGTTGATCATTTTGATACAGAAGTGTCAGAGATATACTGGACTCTGTGGTGTTAACCTGTGGTGTGCAAGATGTAACATCTGTGTGATCTGTAAACATGATGAGACATCTATAGGGATGTTGGTAGTGACAGGCTGTCTATTTGATGTTCTGGAGGGGGTGTGGGTTATCCTGGAGGAGTGGGGTCTGTGACATTTAAAAAAAAAATAATCTGATCTCAGAAATACTTAAAATAAATAATTTCTTCATCAGGTTTTACCTCCCCAAAATAAATAGGTAACTGAACATTATATTCTGTCTGAAACAAAATCCCCAGGCCTGCCCCAACATCCCCAGAATATTAACCAGTTAGCCTATTACTCCTTGTGGGCACTGGCAGATCATACAGCTAAAATAAAATATGTTCTTGGTCATTGGGCAAAGCACTTGTCATTAAAACACTTTTTCTTCTGCCTGAGAACCAGATATGGGATTATTTTATCCATGTATGACTTTCAAGTTGACTGATTAATCCATTTATATGTAGATCGTCTTTGTGACCATTGAATATATTTGGCCCAACGGACTTGCCCTATCACTAGAACACTATACTTTTAAGTAATTTCTTTAAAATCTTTTCTTTCGACATGATACCTCTCTGCATGAAGATTTGTGGACCTCTCCATATAAGGTCATGTTGGGCAAACTTTCTATTTAGCCATCAGCATTGAGGCTTCTAAATTCACTTTGCAAGCAAAGCATACAGACATGCATATATGATTTCTGTATCGAAAACAAATATTAATGACGACAGAGTTGACTTAAGTGCTTGATAAGAGTACTAGCATCTGTACCAAAATGTTGCATTAAACAAAAAAGAAGTTGTAATCCATCAACTCTGCTGTCATTGATACTACAGCTTCTAGATTGCCACTAGAAGACAGAAAACAAATATAATCGTGAAGTTCCAAATATAGAAAATAAATCTGTGCTATTATTTTGTTGTTGATATATGTGTTAAATCCTGTCATTCTGAGCACCTTGAGCTCTACACCCTGAATAGTTCTTGTGGAAGGTATATTTGTGTCTTGTGGCATTTTTCTTTCACTAAGATCGGAATTTCCGAATCGAAGAGGTAAAAAAATGAAGCAGAATCCTTTTAGAAAACGGACATCTGATTGACTCAAGAACCCGGACAGCCTTGATGACAGAATGGGCTTTGTTCAACCAGGGTCCATCTAACACAACCTGCAATGATGTCCTCAGATCTTTACACTGAGGCTTCGTATCAGAGTAAGAGGTCTGATATTGATGAGATTGTACTAACACAGTGTGTAACATTGTGTCACAGAAGTAGTTACTCTCTGTAGATGGACTGTAGATTTAGTTGAATAATAATGGCATATGATCAGTATTGTTTTGTAATGGCTATGAAAAATATCTTGTATGTTGTTCCTTTAGAAATATACAAATATGTACTATTACAATTTACTATGATTGAAAAGATTGGAATATGGGTCACAATTATTGATACTATTTATGAGTTTACAATAAATATGTGTATATCAATCTGTGCAAATTTGTTTTTTGTTATGAATACAGTCTCTGTGATAAGGCGTCCAAGGAATCTGTTCAAAAGGCCAATGTAAGATATAAAAAACTGAATTGCTCAAGTTTTGTGTCTTGAGGCTTAATTGTGAAAATGTTGACACCCACAAAGAACGTTTGTCAAGTGAATCCTACATCTTCATTTATAAAGTAGCATAGTTTCTGTGTACCGGGTATGTCTAGTGACCGCTTTTTCACTCATTTTTTATTCCTACAACCGTCCCACATCAAACTTCTCAACTTCTCTCTAATGATTGTACATGCTGTGATGTAATAAGAGGTTGATATATCTTGCCTATTATTAAGCTGATACTATTCATGCAATAGATTTCTGAAATGAAACCTGTAATTCAGTGACTGGCATAAGCAGAGTTTACGCACTAACTCAGTCCTAGCAGCCCTGTTGATCACTCACTCACTCAGTCCTAGCAGCTCTGTTGATCACTCTCAATCCTAGCAGCTCTGATGATCACTCACTCACTCAGTCCTAGCAGCTCTGTTGATCACTCACTCACTCAGTCCTAGCAGCCCTGTTGATCACTCACTCACTCAGTCCTAGCAGCTCTGTTGATCACTCTCAATCCTAGCAGCTCTGATGATCACTCACTCACTCAGTCCTAGCAGCTCTGTTGATCACTCTCAATCCTAGCAGTTCTGTTGATAACTCTGTCCTAGCAGCTCTGATGATCACTCACTCACTCAGTCCTAGCAGCTCTGTTGATCACTCTCAATCCTAGCAGCTCTGATGATCACTCACTCACTCAGTCCTAGCAGCTCTGTTGATCACTCACTCACTCAATCCTAGCAGCTCTTTTGATCACTCTCAATCCTAGCAGCTCTTTTGATCACTCTCAATCCTAGCAGCTTTGTTGATCACTCTCAATCCTAGCAGCTTTGTTGACCACTCTCAATCCTAGCAGCTTTGTTGATCACTCTCAATCCTAGCAGCTCTGTTGACCACTCTCAATCCTAGCAGCTCTGTTGATCACTCTGAATCCTAGCAGCTTTGCTGATCACTCTCAATCCTAGCAGCTCTGTTGATAACTCTCAATCCTAGCAGCTTTGTTGATCACTCTCAATCCTAGCAGCTTTGTTGATCACTCTCAATCCTAGCAGCTTTGTTGATCACTCTCTCACTCAATCCTAGCAGCTTTGTTGATCACTCACTCACTCAGTCCTAGCAGCTTTGTTGATCACTCTCAATCCTAGCAGCTCTGTTGAAAACTCTGTCCTAGCAGCTCTGTTGATCACTCTCTCACTCAGTCTCCTAGCAGCTCTGTTGATCACTCTCAATCCTAGCAGCTTTGTTGATCACTCACTCACTCAGTCCTAGCAGCTTTGTTGATCACTCACTCACTCAGTCCTAGCACCTCTGTTGATCTCTTACTCACTCAGTCCTAGCAGCTTTGTTGATCACTCTCAATCCTAGCAGCTTTGTTGATCACTCACTCACTCAGTCCTAGCAGCTTTGTTGGACACTCACTCACTCAGTCCTAGCAGCTATGTTGATCACCACTCTGTCCTAGCAGCTCTGTTGATCACTCACTCAGTCCTAGTAGCTCTGTTGAACACTCACTCACTCAGTCCTAGGAGCTCTGTTGATCACTCACTCACTCAGTCCTAGCAGCTTTGTTGATCACTCACTCAGTCCTAGCAATTCTGTTGATCTCTTACTCACTCAGTCCTAGTAGCTCTGTTGGACACTTACTCACTCAGTCCTAGCAGCTTTGTTGATCACTCACTCACTCAGTCCTAGCAGCTCTGTTGATCACTCACTCACTCAGTCCTAGCAGCTCTGTTGATCAATCACTCACACAGTCCTAGCACCTCTGTTGATCACTCACTCACTCAGTCCTAGCAGCTCTGTTGGAATTCAATTCAGGTGAAACAAAAACAAACATGCATAATTAATGGATGTTGTGTCATGACAAGCCTGCTTCAGAAGAGCTTGCACACCCTTCATACATTTAACAATGGACGAGAGAGAGAACTCGCCTGGGATATAAACGTATCAAGGAAACATCTCATGCCTTACTTTTCATATTATACTCAAGGCCCATTGACGTGATGGTCAGAGACCCGTGAAGATCCGGGGTAGAATAGGTCACTGGATTGTCTGGTCCAGACTCGATTATTTACAGACCGCCATCATATAGCTGGAATATTGCTGAGTGCGTCGTTAAACACCAAATAAACAAACAAACATTATCGAGATATATACTACTCAAAAGAAGTAAAAGAACACCCGACTTTTTAATGACTATAGTTAATGTCATGACATGACCGACTAAATAATAGTCATGAAGAAATGGCAGATAAAACTATAGTTACTCTTTTGAGTAGTATAATTGTACTACACATACACAACATAAGCAACAAAGACAAAAATGTGCACAACATAAGCACTTTATTAAGTGAAAAAGGTCAAGCATTTTTTCTTGGATACATTTTTTGTAATTCAAAAATGTCAATTAAAAAGTCAACTATATCACATTGAAAATAGGATATAATTAGGCTAAAATAGAATATTCTCAGTATGGTGGAATACAAACAATGGTATATGAATGAACACTGGTTTATGGTACTGCAGTAGAAAGCCTCAGCTCCATGATGTCTTGAGCCACTGGTGGGTTTACTGGTACTATATGTGATACAGCGTGTATTGATGTCATATTCTGGTGTGGCTTCATGTACAAAATAGTGTGTTGAAAACAAACATTTCACATCGGCTATTTGTCAATGCTTGGGGTACACAAGGAAGACTATATATGACATTGTTTTATCTGAAAAACTGTCAAGGTAACAAACAACACAAATATGCAAATAATTATTTATTTTGATAATCTGTTTTAATGCTATGTTAAGGACCACTCATTTTGACTTAATGAAAGGTGCAAAAAACTTTGGGTGTCATTTCACTGTACAACTACTGCTAGAATATATTTATTAAGACACAAATTGTCATTTGTTTAGTATTTCTTGTTAAAAATTGCACAAAAATATCCTACTCATAGAGTCCAGGTAGGGACTGAATGTAACTGATTACTGAGATATGATGGCATACAAATAGTATTAAATTTGCCAAGGAACTTCAACTGGCCCTTCATTTTAGTAAATTAATCATACGTTCACAATTTAATACGCTGATCCCTTCTAGTTTTGTAACAGTATGAAATACTAGCATCCCTATCACATGTTGAGTAGTAAAATTGAAGGAGGGTCAAACATCGGTTTTCATTGCTGAAACACCACCTTCCTCATCGACAGATTTCTGCATGTACATGATGTCATACCCATACTTGAAGCTAATGCCCATGCATGTGTGTGAGTAGGTGGATCAAGAATCTGCACAATTTCACCTTAACATGTGAGATGCATGCAATATCAACCATCAAGTTCTTTATGCTTCCCAAGCATTATGTCATTGTGCCATTCCTTGACAATCAAAATGGCCACTTGTGCCTAATGGGAATCACCAAATTAGGTGTTTCAGTGTCTAGAAAAGTGTCATCTTCCTCGGGCAAGGGAGTTAACTGACTACATAAGTCCAGTTTCCTCCCTTGCCGACAAGGCTGGAATTCCGGAGTCATATTCTGGTTGGACTAACGAATCTATGCATAGTCCAATCAAAAGCGCGTAACGAATTAGACATCCAGTTCGTAAACAACATGGATTTCAACATGCAGATTTCGGTCGATTGCAGGATTTGCAAAGGACTATAGGGAGATAAAAGGGACATAACTTGTAATAGCCACTGGTGGTGCTACGATTGAGCCACGGAATCCAGCTTGGTTTGGCAAGGGAGAAAATGACTTTTATAGTCAGTGAACTCCCTTGCCACAAGAAGATGGAAAAGTGTGAGGATGTTGTCTGTGACTTGTGTGACTTCAGTCTGAAATACGGGACAACAGCACTCTCTGTTTTCTAGGAGTGTTTGAGGGTAGGATGTGTCATTTTCTAATGAAGTTGTAGTATCGCGGGAGTGCAGTATGTAGTGAGTATGTGTGGTGACAAACAGGTTGGTTGTTCAACTTGACCACATCGACGTCAATCATTGTTTGCTGTTTGTGAAACAAGACGTTACACTAAATTAACACTTATTGTGTGCAAATTTAAAAAAAAAGTTTTACAAAGATAAAGCTGCTTCCATTTAACATGTGTTTCATATCATTGAATTCCAGATTTGTTGAGATAGACACAGTATCACGGATTATGAGTCTGTAGAGACAGTAGGATCATATACGGTACATCATAAATTATCTGATGATAAAATTGTGAAACAGACTTTCACATCATGTGGTTTTCTGCAACACGACAAACTCGCCTCTCTATACCAACCATGATGAAAGGACAGTGCTCCTACTGATATAAGACTGTCTCTGTGGTTTAGTTGATACAGTGTCCTGAGAGTGGAAAGTTGGGGTTCGATCCCGGCCACGTCTTACCAATAGATGTTAAGAGATGGTACTTGTTGTTATCCTGTCTGGTGCTTGGCATTATGGGAACAAAACAACGACTGGTCGGTTAGGAGTCAGTATTGTATATAACTGAGTAGGGTATCCCTGTTCAACTAGCTGGCATAAGTCCGGACTGGTACGAGCAGATGGACAGACACACACACACACAGCTACTGGGCATCATCAATGTGAACAAATCTTGAATGCGACTTCACACCACATTTCACCTCAACTGTTCTAAAGCTCTTCCGTGTGAGCTCTTACGTGTGAGCTATTCCGTGTGAGCTCTTCCATGTGAGCTCCTCTGTGTGAGCTCTTCCGTGTGAGCTCTTCCATGTGAGCTCCTCTGTGTGAGCTCTTCCGTGTGAGCTCTTCCATGTGAGCTCCTCTGTGTGAGCTCTTCCGTGTGAGCTCTTCCGTGTGAGCTCTTCCATGTGAGCTCTTCCGTGTGAGCTTCTCGGTGTGTAAGAAGCAAAAACCACATAATTATATCTGATCATCCTGATTGTCAGGAAGGTCGGACCAGGTGGTCCGGTCCTGTAGCTGCCTGTCATCATCGTTGCTTATGTTGAGGTGACACAGCTGGAATACTGGTGACTGGGGCATGCAACAACATTCACTCTCTCATTCACTCTTATTCTTTGAGTGAGTAAGTTTACGCAGCTTTTAGCAATATTCACAGCAGGGGACACCAGAAATGGGCTTCACACATTGTACCTATGTAGAGAATCAAACCCGGGCCTTTGGTGTGATGAATGGACGCTTTAACCACTAGGCTAACCCTCTTATTCTCTCAACAGGTAGCACAATACCCATGCTTGAGGGTTTCACCAAAGCGGAAACATCTTTGACCCACATGACTTTTCCTCCAACACACGGTTTATACCTGACGTACTGCTCAGGATTACACTCAACTCACTGACTCACTCTTTTAACAGATTTTTAATGAATGTCAGGTAACTCCAACACACCAGCATGACAAATATACTTGATGCCTAATGACACTGAAGTCATGTTTTATAAACAATCACACTGAGCACACTGCAACCAAGATACCTGCAACCTGCAACAAATGACAGAGTTATCTCCCCATAAATATGAACTATTACCATAGAAACTTTATGCCACTGCAAAACATATATCACACATCAACATATATATTATCAATAATCTTTTTTTTCAAAAATAGACATAAAAAACATTCAAGATTTCATAACAAAATAAATTGTACTCACATATAAATATTTATCAATTATTTTGAAAATAATTTGAAACAAAGTAAAAGAACAAGACAAAAAGCTAGACAAGCTGGTCAGACCGCACTGTCCAGGAATAGGCAAAAATGAAAATATGTCATATGTAAAATTAAAAAAACAAAATTAAATAACATTAAAAAATTAAATACAATTTTTAACATGATTAACCTGCAAAGGTCAAAATTGAAATATTTGAATATTTTTACTTTCTTCTATCAGTCAGATAGATATGTTGTTAAAACATTTCATCAAGTAGTTAGTGCCACAGGCCACAATGTCTAAGGCGCCATGAATGAATTACATGTTTCAGGGGCAATTGGTTTTCAAAAGATAGGACCATTCAAAATTGTTTATAACAATTTCTCGTGTCCTTGTAATTGTAGTGACTAAAATATGAAAATAGGGGGCACTTGAATTAATGTAGATTGTATTATTTTTGACATTTTGAACTAATGCACCTCCATCAATGCCTGAGAAACTCCTCATCAATTTTAACAGCCTTAGAAACATGTCCTACAATACACAAACACGCCAACATGCGTGCACGCACACACACACGCCAGCACCACCAAGGGAGGTAAGTCCCACCACCTTGTCTGTTCATAGTAATGACGACAGTTATAATGTCACAGATACAACTCAATATGATCAAAACGTTATTTGGATTTAACGTAAATATCATGAGGTATCTTAACAAAGATGGAAATACAAAAATAAATATAAAAAACAGTGATTGAAGGACATAACAGAACAATGTCTAAATATGTCATTTAGGCGTCAACTAAAATTGAGCTGAGTAAAGTGTACATGCCTTGCAGGACATCTATCACATGTTGAACACTCATATACAACTCCTAATAATGTGATGGGAGTTAACAGATGTATAGTATACAAGCAGAACCATCATATCATCCCCGGGACATTCAATGAGCTCAGGCTCTGCCTGACAATCAGCATGAACAAATGTAGAACTTCTAAACATAATCACTTGACAATCAACACAAACAAATGTAGAACTTCTAAACATAATCACTTGACAATCAACACGAACAAATGTAGAACTTCTAAACATAATCACTTCACTGCTTCCTTTCAAAATCAACCATAAATAGGAAGTAAGATAATACATTGTGGATTTCTTACTAGGAACGAATCAATACCATTTGAAATGATATGTATTACTTCCAATAAGGTTTATCATAAAAACATCAGGGTTTCCTCCATTTAAGCTGGTCCATTTGGTTCCAGGGATTGGGTCAACACTGTTACATCTACATGTCCTTATTGACGAGTGTACGTACTCCAGCACCCCTGAATACCAACCACCCTCCTTTCCCCATCTTTATGGATTACTGGGTGTCTTGCTGACCCCTAAAAAAGGTGTGCTTATTTCTGCTATGATTCCCAAATTCTATTTAATTAATTTTTAAATGTATTACTTTTCATGAGCCTTCCTAAATGTCTTGTTTTATGCCACCAATCATAAGGCACTGATTGGATGTGTTGACTTAAATCCCTCCTATATATGACCAGTCATGGACAACCCAACCCAAGTCCTGAAGTGGTGACCCTAACCCTGACAGTGACAATCCCCCACCCACCCAAACTGTGGTGTGGTGACCCTGACCCTGACCCTGACAACCCAAGTCCTCATGTGGTGACCCTTACCCTGACACTGACACTCCCTGGTGACAAACTGTGGTGTGGTGACCCTGACACTGACAACCCAAGTCCTGATGTGGTGACCCTAACCCTGACACTGACACTCCCCCACCCACCCAAACTGTGGTGTGGTGACCCTGACACTGACAACCCAAGTCCTGATGTGGTGACCCTAACCCTGACCCTGACAATCCCCCACCCCCACCCATACAAACTGTGGCATGGTGATCCTAACACTGACACTGACACTCCCCCACCCACCCAAACTGTGGCATGGTGACCCTGACCCTGACACTGACAACCCAAGCCCTGATGTGGTGACCCTAACCCTGACACTGACACTCCCCCACCCCCACCCACACAAACTGTGGTGTGGTGACCCTGACACTGACAACCCAAGCCCTGATGTGGTGACCCTAACCCTGACACTGACACTCCCCCACCCCCACCCACACAAACTGTGGTGTAGTGACCCTGACCCTGACCCTGACACTGACAACCCAAGTCCTGATGTGGTGACCCTAACCCTGACACTGACACTCCCCCACCCACCCAAACTGTGGTGTGGTGACCCTGACACTGACAACCCAAGTCCTGATGTGGTGACCCTAACCCTGACCCTGACAATCCCCCACCCCCACCCATACAAACTGTGGCATGGTGATCCTAACACTGACACTGACACTCCCCCACCCACCCAAACTGTGGCATGGTGACCCTGACCCTGACACTGACAACCCAAGTCCTGATGTGGTGATCCTAACCCTGACCCTGACAATCCCCCACCCCCACCCACACAAACTGTGGCATGGTGACCCTGACCCTGACACTGACAACCCAAGCCCTGATGTGGTGACCCTAACCCTGACACTGACACTCCCCCACCCCCACCCACACAAACTGTGGTGTGGTGACCCTGACACTGACAACCCAAGTCCTGATGTGGTGACCCTAACCCTGACACTGACACTCCCCCACCCCACACAAACTGTGGTGTGGTGACCCTGACCCTGACACTGACACTCCCCCACCCCCCACAAACTGTGGTGTGGTGACCCTGACCAGTCTGCTGGTGTCTACTGTGCACAGCTGTTGTTAGCTGCAGCACCCCCTCTCCTGTTTGTGAGGGGGACGGGGGTGTTCCTGGAAGTCGTTGGGGGTGGTGACAGAAGACTGCAGGGACACATGCTCGCTTGGCTGCTGGCTCTCGGTGGGCAGGGACAAGATGTGCTCCACGAGGAAGTTCATGGCTTTTTCTGAAAGAAAGTCAAATGTCATTTATGTTTCTGGGTTCCTACAGAAGGAAGATCAGAATCGCATTTGCTATGTCCTATGTTTTTACATGTATTAATGTAGACATATTTCTCAATGCATTCAAAGTATTTCTTATTTATTTTACAAATGCAAAGTTGGGATTTAATGCTAAACATACCCAGTCTCATTCACCGATGTATATCACTGCTAAGCGGTACAGATTCTCACCCAAACTCTGTACAGCAATACATACATCCCTACTTAGAGCATTACTGTGTCATGTGCTGCACAGGAGCTCTTCTTACACAGACTGGTTCTGGGGCCTGTTGTACAAAGTCATCTTAGCGCTAAGGTGAATGTAACCCCCATACCTTAGCATAGACTTATGACGATCGTAGCGAAAAGGTTGTTTTGTACAAAAAGGCACCCTGGGCAGTCCACGCGTGGCATCACTTGCGTTGTCACTATCAATTCTGATGAACATATTTTCAGCTGATGGCCATGTCAGAATTTCCCTAACTTTCTCCACGCCATGCGAATGCCATATTTACGAAGATATTTCGCTATAAAAAGTAGAAATTAGAACCTAGAAAAATGTTCTGGCAGCCTAATGTAACTTTTCTACATACTGTTATTGTTTCCAAACAACTTCAAACACTTTCATGCTTATCTTATCAATGTCCATGTTATCAACTCTGACCTAATTCCTCATATATGTGGGGCGGTCGGGTAGCCTAGTGGTTAAAGCGTTAGCTTGTCACGCCGAAGACCCGGGTTCGATTCCCGACATGGGTACAATGTGTGAAGCCCATTTCTGGTGTCCCCCGCCGTGATATTGCTGGAATATTGCTAAAAGCGGCGTAAAACCATACTCACTCACTCACTCACTCCTCATATATGTGTAGCAGTAACACTCGGGACCTACCTCGTCAACCTTCCGCTGTGTAGCCAATATCAATACACTTATGACCCAGATATTGCTTTCCGAAATCTTTGTCAGACTTGGCTGACAAATGAAACCTACCCACATTGATTTGTTTGTTTGTTGGTTGTTTAACACCACACACAATACTCCAGCCATATGACGGAGGTATGTAATTAATCGAGTCTGGGCCAGACAATCCAGAGCATTGATCCACGCAATTGGGATACGACAAACATGGGTTGCTGAAGATCTAGTCTAACCCGGATCTTCAGGGGTCTACCCATATTGATGACAAAATTTGATAAAAGCTATTCTAATTAATTAATAGTGAGTGAGTGAGTATGGTTTTACGCCGCTTTTAGCAATATTCCAGCAATATCATGGCGGGGGACACCAGAAATGGGCTTCACACATTGTACCCATGTCGGGAATCGAACCCGGGTCTTTTGCGTGACGAGCGAACGCTTTAACCATTAGGCTACCCGACCGCCCCTTATTAATTAATAGAAAAATTGAATGCGATACAAGAGAAAATTTTATTTGCATATGCGAAGTGGTGCGTGTGATCACATTGCACATGCTGTTTCGACAATGACAACAACTGTTACAGTTGGTCAACGGGAAATTTCTATTTCCACTGTTTTGATTCCCTGTTTTTCTACGGACAGAAATACACATATTTGCTCATGGCACAGTCAACTTTGGACACGGAATATTTCAGAAATAACATGAATAAATGGCGATAACTGACCAGTACCTATATTGATGTCTGACCAGGCTGAAACCTACCTATATTGATGTCTGACCTGGCTGAAACCTACCTATAATGATGTCTGACCTGGCTGAAACCTACCTATGATGTCTGACCTGGCTGAAACCTACCTATAATGATGTCTGACCTGGCTGAAACCTACCTATATTGATGTCTGACCTGGCTGAAACCTACCTATAATGATGTCTGACCTGGCTGAAACCTACCTATAATGATGTCTGACCTGGCTGAAACCTACCTATAATGATGTCTGACCTGGCTGAAACCTACCTATAATGATGTCTGACCAGGCTGAAACCTACCTATATTGATGTCTGACCTGGCTGAAACCTACCTATAATGATGTCTGACCTGGCTGAAACCTACCTATATTGATGTCTGACCTGGCTGAAACCTACCTATAATGATGTCTGACCTGGCTGAAACCTACCTATAATGATGTCTGACCAGGCTGAAACCTACCTATATTCATGTCTGACCTGGCTGAAACCTACCTATAATGATGTCTGACCTGGCTGAAACCTACCTATATTGATGTCTGACCTGGCTGAAACCTACCTATATTGATATCGGATTTAGCCGATGTCTGAAACCAGCCTATAAAGTTGTAGTCCCTGCAGAACTTGTTGACAATGTCTGTGTCTGCCTGCACATCATCGATGTCGCACTGTAACATAAATTCCACATAGAACACACACAGATCACACATAGAACACACAGATCACACACATAGAACACACACAGGACACACACAGATCACACATGCAACACACAGATCACACATAGAACACACACAGATCACACAGAACACAGATAACACATTGAATACACAGATCACACATAGATCACACAGAACACACACAGGTCACACAGAACACACACAGGTCACACATAGAACATACACAGATCACACATAGAGCACACAGATCATACATAGAACACACAGATCACACATAGAGCACACAGATCATACATGGAGCACACAGATCACACATAGAACAGATGCAACATACACAGAACACACATGTTACCCAAGCGGATCACACACATAGAACACACACAAATTACTCGTGATGGGTATTGGCCTCCCTTTGGTATTGCAATCTACTGCAATAAATGATGCATGATTTGTGATAAGTACCACAATATATTGCATGCCTTCTTTCATCTGTACTTTTTTGTGAACCTAAATAAAAATATCAACATTTTTACAACTTTGAAGTTTGTATGATGTTGCTGTGGTCACAATGCATGTGTAATAGACACATTATATACAGGAAGCTGGTAGCAAAACATTTAGCTTTTTCAATCACATCTGTTGCTTATTTCTGAATTTCAATTTGACTTTTCACTTATGTAAGTTTTGCCAACAAGATGAAAATATGCATGATTTGGAAAAAGTGCAATATACTTGAATTTTCCATACATATAGTAATACATAGTCATTAGTATATCAAACTGTGGCATACTGGTAATATCACACACCTCTACAAATTACACATGGACTCTATACACATCACTCGTAGCGAGCACCAACAGAATAGAGCCTAGGCTGCCACACAGTAATAGCCAGTTGCCACAAGCAAACACTCGGCTGTCACACTAATCCGGTCAGCCCTAAATGTGACTCCAGTAACTTCTTTGAGTGGCATTTAGAAGTTGGAGTGATGAAGTAAGACGAGTTCTATGGACGAGTCTTACTTCGTGACTACAGTAATTGAATATGAAAAATTGTCTTGTTTTGTTTTATTTTAAATCAACTTGCACCTTGTGTTTTCATGTACTTTCACTGAATTTGAGAAATTGTATACAATCACAGGGGAACCCTTACCAAATCAGCTCACCATCAATTTATCAGTTGTATCCTACTACAGCATTACATGATTTATTTGTTTGTTTGTTTGTTTGTTTGTTGTTTAATGCAGCACTCAGCAATATTCCAGCTATACGACAGTGGTCTGTAAATAATCGAGTCTGGACGAGACAATCCAGTGATTAACATCCTGAGCATCGATCCACGCGATTGGGATTCGATGACATGCATCAATCAAGTCAGTGAGCCTGACTATCCGATGCCAATTGTTGCCTCTTACAACAAGTATAGTCACCTGTTATGACAAGCATGGGTTGCTGAAGAACTATTCTACAACTGATCTTCACTGGGAGATAAGCATGGGTTGCTGAAGACCTATTCTACCCCGGATCTTCATTGGGAGATAAGCATGGGTTGCTGAAGACCTATTCTACCACGGATCTTCAAGGGGAGACAAGCATGGGTTGCTGAAGAACTATTCTACAACGGATCTTCACTGGGAGATAAGCATGGGTTGCTGAAGACCTATTCTACCACGGATCTTCACTGGGAGACAAGCATGGGTTGCTGAAGAACTATTCTACAACGGATCTTCACGGGGAAGCATCACATGAGGCTCACAGGGAACAGGAGTAGTAGAGGCTAACAGGGAACAGGACTAGTAGAGGCTAATAGGAAACAGGACTAGTAGAGGCTCACAGGGAACAGGAGTAGTAGAGGCTAACAGGGAACAGGACTAGTAGAGGCTAATAGGAAACAGGACTAGTAGAGGCTAACAGGGAACAGGACGAGTAGAGGCTAACAGGGAACAGGACGAGTAGAGGCTAACAGGGAACAGGACTATTAGAGGCTAACAGGGAACAGGACTAGTAGAGGCTAACAGGGAACAGGACGAGTAGAGGCTAACAGGGAACAGGACGAGTAGAGGCTAACAGGGAACAGGGCGAGTAGAGGCTAACAGAGAACAGGACGAGTAGAGGCTAACAGGGAACAGGACGAGTAGAGGCTAACAGGGAACAGGACGAGTAGAGGCTAACAGGGAACAGGACGAGTAGAGGCTAACAGAGAACAGGACGAGTAGAGGCTAACAGGGAACAGGACGAGTAGAGGCTAACAGGGAACAGGACGAGTAGAGGCTAACAGGGAACAGGATGAGTAGAGGCTAACAGGGAACAGGACGAGTAGAGGCTAACAGGGAACAGGATGAGTAGAGGCTAACAGAGAACAGGATGAGTAGAGGCTAACAGGGAACAGGATGAGTAGAGGCTAACAGGGAACAGGACGAGTAGAGGCTAACAGGGAACAGGACGAGTAGAGGCTAACAGGGAACAGGACTAGTAGAGGCTAACAGGGAACAGGACTAGTACAGGCTAACAGGGAACAGGATGAGTAGAGGCTAACAGGGAAGAGGACGAGTAGAGGCTAACAGGGAACAGGACGAGTAGAGGCTAACAGGGAACAGGACGAGTAGAGGCTAACAGGGAACAGGATGAGTAGAGGCTAACAGAGAACAGGATGAGTAGAGGCTAACAGGGAACAGGATGAGTAGAGGCTAACAGGGAACAGGACGAGTAGAGGCTAACAGGGAACAGGACGAGTAGAGGCTAACAGGAAACAGGACGAGTAGAGGCTAACAGGGAACAGGACTAGTACAAGCTAACAGGGAACAGGATGAGTAGAGGCTAACAGGGAAGAGGACGAGTAGAGGCTAACAGGGAACAGGACGAGTAGAGGCTAACATGGAACAGGACGAGTAGAGGCTAACAGGGAACAGGACTAGTAGAGGCTAACAGGGAACAGGATGAGTAGAGGCTAACAGGGAACAGGACGAGTAGAGGCTAACAGGGAACAGGATGAGTAGAGGCTAACAGGAAACAGGACGAGTAGAGGCTAACAGGGAACAGGACGAGTAGAGGCTAACAGGGAACAGGATGAGTAGAGGCTAACAGGGAACAGGACTAGTAGAGGCTAACAGGGAACAGGACTAGTAGAGGCTAACAGGGAACAGGACTAGTAGAGGCTAACAGGGAACAGGACTAGTAGAGGCTAACAGGGAACAGGACTAGTAGAGGCTAACAGGGAACAGGACTAGTAGAGGCTAACAGGGAACAGGACTAGTAGAGGCTAACAGGGAACAGGACGAGTAGAGGCTAATAGGGAACAGGACGAGTAGAGGCTAATAGGAAACAGGACTAGTAGAGGCTAACAGGGAACAGGACTAGTAGAGGCTAACAGGGAACAGGACGAGTAGAGGCTAACAGGGAACAGGATGAGTAGAGGCTAACAGGGAACAGGACTAGTAGAGGCTAACAGGGAACAGGATGAGTAGAGGCTAACAGGAAACAGGACTAGTAGAGGCTAACAGGGAACAGGACTAATAGAGGGGAACAGGACTAGTAGAGGCTAACAGGGAACAGGACTAGTAGAGGCTAACAGGGAACAGGACGAGTAGAGGCTAATAGGGAACAGGACTAGTAGAGGCATTACTGGAGGTAACCCAGGAACAGCATTACTGGAGGTAATCCAGGAACAGCATTACTGAAGGTAACCCAGGAACAGCATTACTGGAGGTAACCCTGGAACAGCATTACTGGAGGTAACCCAGGAACAGCATTACTGAAGGTAACCCAGGAACAGCATTACTGGAGGTAACCCAGGAACAGCATTACTGGAGGTAACCCAGGAACAGCATTACTGAAGGTAACCCAGGAACAGCATTACTGAATGTAACCCTGGAACAGCCTTACTGAGTAAACAACATTACTGGAGGTAACCCAGGAACAGCATTACTGAAGGTAGCCCAGGAACAGCATTACTGAAGGTAACCCAGGAACAGCATTACTGGAGGTAACCCAGGAACAGCATTACTGAAGGTAACCCAGGAACAGCATTACTGAAGGTAACCCTGGAACAGCCTTACTGAGTAAACAACATTACTGGAGGTAACCCAGGAACAGCATTACTGAAGGTAGCCCAGGAACAGCATTACTGAAGGTAACCCAGGAACAGCATTACTGGAGGTAACCCAGGAACAGCATTACTGAAGGTAACCCAGGAACAGCATTACTGAAGGTAACCCTGGAACAGCCTTACTGAGTAAACAACATTACTGGAGGTAACCCAGGAACAGCATTACTGAAGGTAAACAGGGATAGCGAGACGGGTGAAAAAACAGGCATAAAACAAGGAGCATAACTACAGTTATAAAACAGGGTATCCCACCCTAAGGATCATTAAGAGTGTTTGACTGGCAAGGGGTGCCCAATCATAAGGATTATGAAAGGGTGTGTGATCAGAAATGTGTGCCCGACCCTAATGATGACAAAGGGGTCTTTGATCGGAAGGGGCCAAGAGCTATGGATAGAGTCACCTGCCTTCATTATACTCTGTTAAACCCGAGGATCAACAAGGCATGCAAGATCAGTGAAATGAGAGCCACAGTAACAGCCATCTAGTGCCATATAGCTGCAGCCAGTAGCATCATTAGCCACCCACCTTATTGGCCAGCAGCATGATTGGCACCGGCTGTTCATTGGCTAGCATCACTTTGGAATTTACATCATTCAGCCACTTGAAATCAAGAGAAAGAGTTATATCAAAGAAAATATTTTTCAGGAATGTCAAGCAAAATTTTAAAAATAATTACATCAAAGTGAAAGAGATTATAAAATTGTAGTGCAATGTATTTTAAAATTACATGGGAGAGGGATTTCAAGCAGAATGAATAGTTTGTACTTCTTGAGCTTTTTTTATTTAAGTTTTGCAAAATGGAGTAATTTGCAAGAACTGTGGTTGAGTTTCAGGAGCCAGCGGTACACAAACTCTTAATGATGTTTGAACTGGATATGCCATATTGATTTAACAGCAAACTTACTTTTAGAACTGAATCAAATGTTGCTGGTCTGAAAAGAAGAAATGTTGCAAAATCAAATATGTTTTTGAAATGATGAAATCGATCAACTGAGGCCAATTTAAATGTCAAATTTCAAATACCAAAGGATGCACGAATCAGAACATTTGTCAGTTAAATGTGAAGGCAATATGAAGTCTGCATGGACCCTAGTGTCATGCCAAGTGGGTATCAACTTAAAATATCAACTTAAACACATAATTACCTTGACAAGTCAAAGCATATAATTGCAGCAATTCTGAAAATAAAACAAAACAAAATATTACTCACAAGTGAAAACTTCTCCTGTTTGTGTTACGCCATTAGGGAGCGTCCATTTGATTTGATTGGGGAGGGAGTGATTTTGTATTTTTTTCCCAGCTGTATCCAACAATCTATCTATTTATTTACTGAACACCATCCAACAATGATTTTCACTATTAAAACCAACAAAATTTATTTGACAAAAAAAACTCTTCATTTTTTTCACTACTGCCAACAAATGCAAATGTCAATGGGGCAAATGTCTGAACAAACTATCTAAATCTGATATCTGATACAAATGGAACATAACTTACGCATATTTGTAATAGACTCGGGTCATGTGACCAAACCTCTCATGTCCTGCAATGTCCCTGAAACAGCATTCATTTCATTAAGAAATAATAAATACTCATATGATTATAATGTATGATTGTATTAATAATGACCTAGCACAGTTGTAAGCTGACCTAGCACAGTTGTTAGTTGACCTAGCACAGTTGTAAGTTGACCAAGCACAGTTGAAAGTTAACCTACCACAGTTGTAAGTTGACCTACCACAGTTGTAAGTTGACCTACCCCAGTTGTTAGTTGACCTACCCCAGTTGTTAGTTGACCTACCACAGTTGTAAGTTGACCTACCACAGTTGTAAGTTGACCAGCTACAGTTGTTAGTTGACCTACCACAGTTGTTAGTTGACCTACCACAGTTGTAAGTTGACCTACCACAGTTGTAAGTTGACCTACCACAGTTGTTAGTTGACCTACCCCAGTTGTTAGTTGACCTACCACAGTTGTAAGTTGACCTACCACAGTTGTAAGTTGACCTACCACAGTTGTTAGTTGACCTACCACAGTTGTAAGTTGACCTACCACAGTTGTAAGTTGACCTTTGTGTCCTTGTTCCAGTCTACTGTCTTCAGGGCAAAGTCCACCCCGATGGTTAGCTTATAGTTGGGTGAGAAATTACCTGCAAGAAATTCAACCCAATGTTGTACAATGCATCAGTCTGAAAGATAACTAACTACTCCATTCATCAAGGGAAGTGATTTAAACAATCAGCAGTTTGTAATGTAGCTTGATTAGACTATCATGGTGTAACATTCATCCTAAGTTTTCGTATAATAATTACATCCACAGCAAGTGATTTAATAAGTTATCATGGTGTAACATTTATACACATTTTCATATAATTATACATCCAAATATATATATTAGGATTCAGGGAAAATGCAAATATAAAATAGTTTCAATAATAGCTTATAGATAAATACTAGCCTAAGGACTTAGTCACACATTTAGGATTTTAACTGCCATCCTTGATAGGAGCATTCCCGATTAAAATTTGTCAAAAGTCTGATCAAGATCCTGTGATTCATGGCGGGAAATTCACAAACAATAAGATATTGTTCAAGAAGTGTCCCGATTCAGCCAATTCCATCTGAATACGTCCCGATTGTCCTGTACTCAATCCGAATCTGATCCGATTTGTAACTTCCGCATGGTTAAAAACGACCGAATGCGATCCGAAAGAGATCAGACAGTGACTGGACAGTGAACCAACAAAGACGGATCGTATTCGGCAAGATCTGGACGCAATCTTGACTCAATCGACAAGAAACGGCAATGAACAACTCATGCCCATTCATCACGACAGCATCCCGATCCACAGGACACCGTCCAGACAACACAGGACATTTGTACGATTTTGAGCCGATACACCAGAATCTGTCACGACAAAGTCACGATTGTAATCCGACTAGACAAAATCGTCTGAGTTTCCTGAATGTTACGAGACGCACCATACTAGGGTCCATACCATACCTATTTCTAACACTACTTTAATAGACAGATAAACTTTAATAAACAGATTAAATGACATAATATTATTTTGCTCACAAGACAAATCTAATTCACAGTGCTAAATGCCATACAATCCTCACTAGACAAACCTGATGCATCACTCTCGGACCTAGAGCGGATAATGCCATACAATCCTCACTAGACAAATCTGATGCATCACTCTCGGACCTGGAGCCATACAATCCTCACTAGACAAATCTGATGCATCACTCTCGGACCTAGAGCTGATAATGCCACACAATCCTCACTAGACAAATCTGATGCATCACTCTCGGACCTAGAGCGGATAATGCCACACAATCCTCACTTGACAAATCTGATGCATCACTCTCGGACCTAGAGCGGATAATGCCACACAATCCTCACTTGACAAATCTGATGCATCACTCTCGGACCTAGAGCGGATAATGCCACACAATCCTCACTTGACAAATCTGATGCATCACTCTCGGACCTAGAGCGGATAATGCCACACAATCCTCACTAAACAAATCTGATGCTTCACTCTTGAACTGATAAGTGGCATTTTCTGAGATCCTGACATTTGACTGACTGGTCGATGCTTACCATGGCTTACAGACATTGATGTACATCAATGTAGTTTAGTATGAATAATTCAGTAAACAAATAAATGATATGTCTGTGCAAGTGAGCCTGGAACTGATTAAGTCATGCCCATGCCACCAGGGACTGTTGTAATTGTATTGCCTGACAGGACCTGAGTCTTGTGTGACATCCATGACAGGCATCGTACTGCCGGGGACCACAATCACCATACACTATCACTCAAGCGGTTTCTGTGCTGTCGTTTGAACTCCGGTGCCTAATCAACTCCAGACTAATACATCATACTGAAATAAAGTTATTTATAATGTTAAATAAATAATTCCATAAAGGAGATCTTCAGTGTTAATTTCAGAGGTGAAAGGGGTAAGTATCAGATGGTCGGGGTGACTAAATGGTGCAAGTGCTAAGGTTCAGTGACTTAGTTGACTGCATGTCTTTGTATCCCAATTCTGTGGATCGATGCTCACAATATCAATCACTGGATTGTCTGGTTCAGATTCGGTTATTTATAGACCCCTGTCATAGAGCTGGAATATTGCCAAGTGTAGCATTAAAGAAAAAACAAATCATTATCAATAATCCATTTCTAAAATTATTTCTGCAGTATATGATTTTTCCATCCCCATGCTGTCAGTTTTCTCATCCTATAACCCAAATGGAATAAAATTTAATGCAATATCTATGTAACAATGTAGACAGATCTGACATGGATTTGAGATTCTGTTTTTCAATTAGACGTTTCAATACAGATGATACTGTTGTCACTGTTATCAGGCAAGTGATGATGTCTGTCTTCGGCGTAACGTTGCTACAGGTAACTATAAAAACACTCAAACATATCGAGTTGAAAACTATCAGATCTCCCTCCCACGGTTTCTCCCTCCCTGCAGGAGGGTGGATGGAGAGGGACAGGCGACGCCCACCTAATGACCCCTCTCAGATCGTACCTTCCCCTTCAGCAATCACTGTCAGATCAATCTTATCACAGTGTCATTAACTGGGGCTACTGTTCTGCCCGGTTCATCTCATTAAGCCAGCAGTTTAGACACATGCTGGGGCTGTCAGAGTGAATTGTCAGCTTATTACATCTTTATGTGAAAAAATAATATGGAAAACTGAAACCCAAGCTTAAAATAATTACCTCAAGATAGAATGGTAAAATGTTTCTTTGAAAACAAAATAGTTATTACAGGGAAGATACAAGACATTCATCAAGCAGTTGATATCCATCATCTGTCGCCAGCAGCCTAATGGCACTGGGGCCCTAATACCAGTACTCAGTGGAGCAGCGTCATAGATGATGATGCAGGGATAATCAGCTGATTGAGTGGCCCTGCTCCCTACACTCATCTACTGATTGACAGTGCTCAATCTGTACAGGGAGGCTGACAGAGTGACCCTACTCACTACACTGATCTACTGACTAGGCAGCGCTCAATCTGTACAGGGAGGCTGATTGAATGACCCTACTACCTACACTCATCTACTGATTGACAGTGCTCAATCTGTACAGGGAGGCTGATTGAGTGACCCTACACCCTACACTCATCTACTGATTGACAGTGCTCAATCTGTACAGGGAGGCTGATTGAATGACCCTACACCCTACACTCATCTACTGATTGACAGTGCTCAATCTGTACAGGGAGGCTGAATGAGTGACCCTGCTCCCTACACTCATCTACTGATTGACAGTGCTCAATCTGTACAGGGAGGCTGAATAAGTGACCCTGCTACCTACACTCATCTACTGATTGACAGTGCTCAATCTGTACAGGGAGGCTGATTGAGTGGCCCTGCTACCTACACTCATCTACTGACTAGGCAGCGCTCAATCTGTACAGGGAGGCTGATTGAGTGGGCCTACTCCCTACACTCATCTACTGACTAGGCAGCGCTCAATCTGTACAGGGAGGCTGATTGAGTGACCCTGCTACCTACACTCATCTACTGATTGACAGTACTCAATCTGTACAGGGAGGCTGATTGAGTGACCCTACTCCTTACACTCATCTACTGACTAGGCAGCGCTCAATCTGTACAGGGAGGCTGATTGAGTGGCCCTACTCCCTACACTGATCTACTGACTAGGCAGCGCTCAATCTGTACAGGGAGGCTGATTGAGTGACCCTACTCCCTAGAGTCATCTACTGACTAGGCAGCGCTCAATCTGTACAGGGAGGCTGATTGAGTGGCCCTACTCCCTACACGCATCTACTGACTAGGCAGCACTCAATCTGTACAGGGAGGCTGATTGAGTGGCCCTACTCCCTACACACATCTACTGACTAGGCAGCGCTCAATCTGTACAGGGAGGCTGATTGAGTGGCCCTACTCCCTACACGCATCTACTGACTAGGCAGCGCTCAATCTGTACAAGGAGGCTGATTGAGTGACCCTGCTCCCTACACTCATCTACTGATTGACAGTGCTCAATCTGTACAGGGAGGCTGATTGAGTGACCCTACTCCCTACACTCATCTACTGACTAGGCAGCGCTCAATCTGTACAGGGAGGCTGATTGAGTGACCCTGCTACCTACACTCATCTACTGATTGACAGTACTCAATCTGTACAGGGAGGCTGATTGAGTGACCCTACTCCTTACACTCATCTACTGACTAGGCAGCGCTCAATCTGTACAGGGAGGCTGATTGAGTGGCCCTACTCCCTACACTGATCTACTGACTAGGCAGCGCTCAATCTGTACAGGGAGGCTGATTGAATGACCCTACTCCCTAGAGTCATCTACTGACTAGGCAGCGCTCAATCTGTACAGGGAGGCTGATTGAGTGGCCCTACTCCCTACACGCATCTACTGACTAGGCAGCACTCAATCTGTACAGGGAGGCTGATTGAGTGGCCCTACTCCCTACACACATCTACTGACTAGGCAGCGCTCAATCTGTACAGGGAGGCTGATTGAGTGGCCCTACTCCCTACACGCATCTACTGACTAGGCAGCGCTCAATCTGTACAAGGAGGCTGATTGAGTGACCCTGCTCCCTACACTCATCTACTGATTGACAGTGCTCAATCTGTACAGGGAGGCTGATTGAGTGACCCTACTCCCTACACTCATCTACTGACTAGGCAGCGCTCAATCTGTACAGGGAGGCTGATTGAGTGACCCTACTCCCTACACTCATCTACTGACTAGGCAGTGCTCAATCTGTACAGGGAGGCTGATTGAGTGACCCTGCTCCCTAGAGTCATCTACTGATTGACAGTGCTCAATCTGTACAGGGAGGCTGATTGAGTGACCCTACCCCCTACACTCATCTACTGACTAGACAGTGCTCAATCTGTACAGGGAGGCTGATTGAGTGACCCTGCTCCCTACACTCATCTACTGACTAGGCAGCGCTCAATCTGTACAGGGAGGCTGATTGAGTGACCCTACTCCCTAGAGTCATCTACTGATTGACAGCGCTCAATCTGTACAGGGAGGCTGATTGAGTGACCTAACTCCCTAGAGTCATCTACTGATTGACAGTGCTCATTCTGTACAGGGAGGCTGATTGAGTGACCCTACTCCCT